CGGGTTATTGGGCTGAAACTTCAGTAAGGTGTAGAGAGTGTGATCAGCTATCATATGGTAGAGTGACGGTTACTGATACATGAGGAAGAGCGAGATTATTGCATCCTCTTACGAGGCAAATTTGTGAAGCCTAACTCCATAACAATGCCTGAAAGACCACTCCTCACTGACTCGGGGAAGCTCTCACAGTTGAAGCCTCGCTGCGGGAACTGAGAGTTTTGAAGTAGCAAAGGCGATGGGAAGGGATTACCGTACCATCAAGAAGTATATCGATGAAGTCTCATCGGTACGTATAGGAAGTCCGTGACTCCACGGGAAAAGATGGAACGTGAACGCGAGACGACTAAGAGTCCTTTAGTCACGAGTAAAGAGGTGTTCGATGCTGCCGGGCGGTCCAAGAGCACCCGTGGTGAGGTGCTGAAGGGTTTAGGCAAGGTCATGAAAACCAACCCATGGCGTTCTCTGAGTCAGAGAACGGTAGTAGTAGTACTACCGTTATACACCTCTCACCGGTACACGTCGTCTTATACTACCTCTCCTATGGTCCACCAGGCTGAATTTGGTCAGAGACTCTGACCAAATTCCACAGGAAGAAGAGAGTCAGGTGGGCGAAGGGATACATGAAGACAAACGTCTCGATGGTGTTATGGACCGCAGAGTCGCATGCAATGCTCGGTGGACCTTAGGTGTTGTGTTGAGGTAGGGGACACCATAGGTGTGTTTCTCTGTTCGATCTGAGCTCGGAATGCTTGATACCTAGTGTTAAAACCGTGCCCCATTCTCACCCTATTTGATTAAGTACAATAACATTCCAGTTTTGGTTAGACTACTTAGGTCAGTAACGCGACGTCGAGTTACTCACCGGTGCCGAGCTGCTCAGGTCTAGGGGTGAGATGAACAAAGGTTAGACCTTGTGAACGATCTCAGATCCGAACAGCAACAGCAGCTAATCGGCTATGACTGAAGAGCTGCTTACAGCCACTGATTCTCAGTAAGGCTGAAAGCAGATTCAGACACACTCCGACACTGGTGATGGGCTAACTAACTTTAGTTCGACGGGGTAGAGTTCAACAGGCTTGCATCAAGGACTTTGCTCAGTTAGACGCTTCAAGCGTCACGCTTAGGTCGACATGGTTGATGGGACCCAACACCATTGTGGACCTTGTGTTAGACGAGATGAGCTTTCTTTAGACATACTAGCTGCATAGAGGTGAGAGAACTCTTCGGTGGCATTATCCAAATAGCGTTTATAATAGTCAGACCATCTCCCATGTTGTTCTATGAAAAGACCGTTATACCCGGCTCGCCAAAGGAGGCACGCTCCAGTCCTCCACAACGAGTGGGTTCCCCACTGCTCATATTCCGGAGAGCCTTTTATGAACCCGAAAATCAACTTGATACCTTCAAGCCAGTCATTATAGGTGAGATCCGGTTAAGCGCACCTACCCTCACCCAGAGTAACTCAAGAATAAGATAGTATGTCAAAGCTCTGATTACGAACTGTTAGTGTCTTACTACAACACTTCGGTTTACAGATCACTTGAGATTCGAGTGTGTGGGTTGTATCTCGAGTGCGCAAGTGAAACTTGCACACTCAAACAACATGCGTTAGATACTTGACGTATCGGAGCATGATGCACCCAAAATCCCAGAGATGTGCAAACGGAGCAAAGACTGGAGAGAGAAGAAAGAAAAAAATTAACAGTTCAACTCGACAGAGCTTTACATTATAGTAGTCGAGGTTCTAGCTTGGGCTGTTTGTTGCACAACTTTGTGCAACGTGGGACAGTGTCCGGGTGCAGGTTTGCTTAAACTACGCTCACAGGTTACACCTGTGGCTTTCACGAAAATCAAGTCTTCGTTAGCAAATGACTTGGAGGCTAGTCAGATGGCCAAGCGGTGGAAGGCACAGAAGGGGGAGAGGGTACCTTAGAGGGTCCGCGCATCCTGCACAACCGATTTTGATTCGGCGACCTAGCCCGATTTGATCGGTTTCACTCCTCTTCAAATTGATGACAACCATGTCAGCTTGTAGAAGGATGTCTGCCCTGACCAATTGCAACGTTTCACGTTCGCGGAAGAGACCGAAAATTGCAGAGGCTCACCACTTGTATGATTTCCAGGTCTCCTCCCAAGCCAGGGACAAATGTCAGTCTGCTGAAGCTCTTAACCTCTTCGAGGGAGAGAGGGGTTTTCCTGTCGTCGGTTTCAGGACCTAGATCCCGCTTCGCGGCCCGTAGGGCTGCATTCAGCTCATGTTCAGCGGGGCGGTCTAGGGAGAAGCCGAGACTGGCATTACGTGACCGAAGTGCTTTAAATTAAAGCCTTTAATGTAGGTCTTGATAGACGAGAACTTATAATCTTGTCTGCCACCCGTCTTATTGGTCATGGCACACACAAACTGCTGTAGGTGGTCAAGTTTGAGAGGGAATGCCGGTTCCGGCGACAGAAAGTTTGTGTAAACTGAGACGACGCTCTTGTAGCTAGACCGCGTAGTAGGTGCCAGAGCTCCTTCGAGGAAATTGGCTAACAAACCACCCGAAGGACGCGCACATCGGAGTACTTTTGCTCTTCGATTTTGATCGGATTGACGCAACAAACCTAAAAGTAGAGTTTGAGTATATTGGAGCACAGTCGTTAAACCGAAGTTAAACCGAGCCAAGCGAGAGGAGGCTCTATAGAGGAGACCAATCACTAGGCAGGTTATCAGAAAAGCCTTGTGAGAGACGATCGGCAATTATATTATCTTTCCCATCTAGGTGGTGCACAGATAGATAGGGAATCAAAGTACGTAAGTACTGAGCTGCTTTCCTCAAGAGCCACACTAGATGTGCCTTGCGACTAAACATCCTTCGGGCTATTTTAACAGTGCCATCATTATCAGATTGTACAATTATGGGGGAATTCGAGGGCGCTGCTGACCAATAGAGGAGGTTGTCAGAGTAGAGTATATATAGTGATATCAGACACGCCAGAAGTTCGAGCGTGCAAATGTCGGCGTGGGTCGGAGTTGTTCTCCCACTGATGAGATCTTTGATCAGTTTGGCAGGCAAATTAACAACAGGGACACTCCAGTATCGCCACGATCGGTTGCTAAAGGCGAAACCGGCCAAGGCTTGCAGGGAAGCATCGCAACCCACGAGACGGAAAGAGTCTGGAGCAAGACTCACAGTGCTGGGGATATCGAAGAAGAGACTCTGCGGTGAAGACTTCACCGTGAAGTACCCCGGAAGAATTTCTCCAAGAAACGTAAATCATCACGATTCGTGATTCACGGAGCATACGCGGTAGCTTTGCGCGGCGTAACTTTTTGCCCTCCATCATGCAGATAGACTGAAAGGAGGAGCCCAGGTAAGGCCTCAACAGAGGATAGCATTGTAATGCCCAGACCACTTTTCCTGCTAGATTTGACAGCTCTTTGGCTGCAATATTCCCTCTTGAGAGAAACTTGTGGATAAGCGATATCAGGTCAGATATTTTCTTGAAAGGAACAGTGATCGAGACCTGCGGGCGATCATGGCCGTGGCTAAGTTGAAAGCCAACTTTCTCTACATTGCAGTTTGGAGCAGGCAAGAGTACAACCACACATGCTCCAAATTAATACTGTTAGGGGCATAGCCGCCAAAATGGCTCTTTCCGAGCCGAGATATAACGTGTCGTCCACATAAAAAAGTCCGGACACGAGGTTCGAGCAAGGAGACAACGACCATGTTTGTAGACGCGAGATTATCGCACGATGTATGGCTCCTGCAATTCTTGAAAAGCAGTAGGGACTCCCTACTAGGGAGAGTTGCGGTGCCCCAAGGGTAGCCGCCTATGCCTGTATAGTTTCCCATCGCAGCGTATGTTCAACTTAGGGACTTCTCGGGGGCTAACACCGACCAATCTTTACGCACTCTTTATATCCAAGGTGAAAGCTCCTAATGGAGTCCCTGCCTTAGTGCTTCTTGACATTAGCGTCCGGATCAACAACTGGATATCCGTATATCTTAGCAGACAGAGAGTTTGAGAGAATTTGCGAGCCTTTTGATTCACGTGACTACGTCGATAGTCTTCGACTACCCTAAAATGCTCAGCTTTCTTTGATTCTTCGGAATCCGGACAGCTGGCCTTGGGTATTAAGGCCGCATGGGTGAAGACTCCTTTAAAGTTGCCTCCCTTCCCTAGGCAGGTCATTCTACCCAAGGACACCTCTTCTTTGAGGATTTCCTCGAGGAATTTTCGGTTAGTGACGGCAGATTGATAGTTGGTTAACACAAGCTCGACTTCTTTTGTTCGGCGAGGCTTTGCTTCTGGCCAAAAATCAGAGGATGGTATAGGCTCGTTCTGGCCGAGAGCACAACCCCTCATCAATCTGTTGTAGTAAAATCTGAGCTTCTTTTTCGAAATCTTCTCCGCATAGAGAGAGCAGAGCAGCGATGAGGGAAGGTCTGAGTGGCGAACCAACCCGCGAGGTGGCACTATTGGCCCCCAGTAGTGAGCAGGTTGGTCCCAGTGCGATATTAATAGCATCATCAACTTTGTGATAGAATGTTACCTCTTCACCCACTGGGAAGTTCTGGGAAGAACAGAGCTTGATCAATGAGTCAAGTCCAACAGTGGAGATGGCTGAGGTGAGGACTGCATAAAGATTAGAAGCTGTACTTTTGTTGATGGGAACCGCAGAATCCCATGATTTGGGGGAGTTAAGGCCTGCACCGGAAGTGAAATTCTGGCGCTTAGTGATGACCATACCAGAGAATGCTTTTACAGCGTGATTAACAAAGTTTGTTAATCACGCTGTAAAAGCATTCTTGACTAATTTACATGTCTCCGAGTTTAACTCGGAGACATGTAAATTAGTCAAGTTTCCTGCCCCATTATCCACAACGTCAGAGACTTTGTCATGACGAAGTTGGACGGGCGAAACTAGTCTTCTCTGAAAGGTTCTGACTTACGAGAGGCGCTGGGCTCAGCCTTTTCATCAGTGTCATAGAAAGAGCGACCAACCTTAGTCTTCTTCAGTAGGATATGCTTAAACGGGCACCGTTCTCCTCTGTTACAGTGACTGTAATACAGTCACCCGTCTGGTAATAGATGCAAACACCACGGTCAGAATCCTTCCTTTTGTTGTCCTTTGATGGCTCCTTGGGAACTTTATTGTGAGCCTTCTTGAGCAGCTGATCGACATCTTCAAGACCACCGAACTGCGCGGAGATATACAAGGAAGGATCCAGGTCACTCTGCAGAACCTCGGAAATAGTATGGCCTTGTTGATGATATCCTGTTAAAGATCACCGATACTTATGAATCATAAGTTATGAGATCATATATGACAGCAGCTTCAACGTTTCGTTTTTCAGCTAGCTCATGACTATACATCATGTCATACAACTAGCCTAGCTGTATGACTTTGAGTAGGTACTTGAACATAGCAGGTGAATTGACTTCTGATTTATTACCATAGACCATGAAAATTCCTGTGCACCATCTACAATAGCACTCAACCCACTGCGCCAAAGACGAAATTTTACGGGCTTTACCTGTGCGAATGGCAACGGTCTTACCAGTATTCACGTCTTCGGCTTGCTGAATGCCTCTCGGAGAGGAGTCCTCTCGGTAGAAGCCGCACTCGCCAAGAACTCAGGTGCTGCGATATGATCATACGGAGAAGATGCCAAACGATTGAGTAGTCGATAAGGGGGAACAAGAGTCGCTGGTACTTTGATGTCAGGACCAAACCTTGCTTGTATGTTGTTGTTGAACTTCTCAAAATCTTCTTTCTCTCATTCAGACTCAGCCTTACGGCGTTTCGCCGACTGAGCGGCTTTAGCCTCTCAGCCAAGGTATGAGCATAAAGCTTGAAAGCCTCTCGGTCAGCCTCAGCAACACGACTATACCTTTCAGATTCTGAAAGGTATAGTCGATGATGCTGGTCCTTCAGATGATGTTGGTCGACAGTGAAAGCAAATTTGAAGCGTCGAATCGTGGGGGTCTCGAAGAGCTCTTAAACGTCCATGATGGACAGACGCAGCGAGAATATCGCGCTCAATGTCTGATGCGGTGGGCAACCGACGCGTTCCTAGAATTAACCCATCAAAAGGTTCTCAACTTCGTCAACAACTGCGCCGCATACTACGCGCCTGCCTTGGAACGGAGGGCGATTCAGTTCTGACGTTGAGATTTTTTACATATTTCTATGTCAGTCATGGCATGCCGAATAGATGCAATAAACTATTAATATGGTTTCTGAGCCTCGTGTGGGGTAGCGCTATCATCCAGGAATGGCTTATAGAGCTGCACATCGTAAATCGTCATCATCAGAGCTCTAACCCGAAATTGATGTCCTTGCTCGTGAAGCTGCATTCCTTAATCATGAAATTGATGTCTTTATTCGCGAAATTGATTTCCCTATTCAGCCTTCATCGCTAAATTGATGTCCCTGTCCGCGAAGATGACTTCCTTATCAGCTGAATTTATAGCCTAATCCGCCAAAAAGATTTCTGAAAGGTATAGTCATTTTTTGAATGACTTCGTTGGACACATTAGACAATAGCAAGGTCGAGAGGATTCTCTCTTGGCTAAGCTGCTGCACTAGGGCCTCTCTGATACCTTCGTCGACGACTTCTCCTTCCAAGAGAGGGTCCACAACATTACAACGAACGACAATAGTGCGATCAACCATTGCAGTGGGTAAGTAATTAATCAATTCAAATGAAGGGCAACCAATCAGTTTATGATCCTGAACCTTCCAGTGAAGGACTCACCTACCCTCATTGTGTGTTGTGTGAGCCATGTCCCGTTGCACAAGATATGTTCACTTTGTGACTCGATCTTCGGGGAGCATTCGAGACTTGGCTGGTTTTACCATCATTAGCATGCTAACTCGAAGTTGATGAATTGATCTCAACAAGAAACAATCATTATCGCAACCGTTGCATGAATATCCAGATGATAGACATTTCCACCAACCGTCAACCGTCACACTTCCTTGAGCAAATTTTATGAACCACAATGCCGGAACGAGCTCACCTGAGCGGTCCTGAGAAGACTATCATCGTTATGAATCTATACAGTAATCTGACTAGTGCATTGTCAGTAATATACTTTTTTACACCAAAAGAGGAGCACTATTACCCCACCTAGAATGTTACTTGTAGGGATCCGCCGTCTGATCCGTTGGATCATGTCCCTACTGTACCACTGTGGAGTACAAACATACCATATTCAACGACGTGTTATACAGCTTGAGCAGTGTGCAATACGCAGATTGTCACCCTAGCGCTAAGTTGAGTGCCTGCGCTAATATTTAACGAGCCTGATAGCCAATGGCCAGTGGTTGATGGCTATTAGCCACTTCTCTTGCATACTGATGGTATTGTGTTACGCCTGGTCCAGGCAGCCTGGGTTATAGAGAAAGACCAAACCGAAGACACGACTGATAAGTTCATAACACGGTTTTTATTGGAAACGCTTTTAAGACGTCAACGATCAGTTGTCTTATTGGTGAAAACTCTACCCAACAGGAATGGGTATTCCATGACGATACATATCTGAGATACGATCACAAAAAAGTTTTCAAACTATCAACTGATTCTAATGCGGGAAAATATTAATGATGCTGTCTGGAAGTAGGCGTAAAACCTTTCAAAATGAATCGGATAACGGCAAAGATGAGGAAAACCATTGTACAAAAAGGTAGATGCATTTCTCTGCTTCAGCAATTCACGAGTCCCACAGTCCTCGAGACAACCTTACTGACCATAGGAGGAGCAGTTCGTCAACTGGGTAAGGGCGATATTCACTGCTTCAAGTACATCTATTTCCCCGATGTGGGATAGATTGAATGGATTCGGTATACCGGCCGTTCTAGATTTGACAATAGTGCTGGTTATGTCTTGGCCTTCAAGACCGAGAGTAGCGAGCAAGGCCGCGACACCAGCAACTATAGGGGTCGACATCGATGTACCACTAGTTTTGAAGTACAAACCCCCGGGGACCGTCGAGTAAATATCCACACCGGGAGCAGCAACCTTCGTAACAAATCCCGCGTTCGAGAATCCGGCAAGAGAGACCGGTTCGGTTGGATTAGAAGTACTGGCAGCCACACAAAGCATAGATGGGATTTCCTCTGCGAGGCAGCAAGGATAAGTTCGGTTCTTCTCTAGATCAAGTGCTTCATTGCCAGCAGCAGCAACAGCAATATGTCCAGCAGCAGCGGCTTTCTTGTATGCAGCCTTCTGGAGCTCACTTGTGTTATACCAGCGGTAAGAATGAGAGGATACTGTTGCACCATTTTCAACTGCGAAGTTGAGGGCCCTCAGCGAATAACTCAAAAGGCCAACACCGGAATCGTCGAAGATCTTCAATACCATCAGCTTAACCTTCGGCGGTGGGCCTTCAATGTTAGCCACTCCTGCAATGCCAATGCAGTTATTAGTCTGGGCGACCGCACTGCCAGCGCAGTGGGTACCATGGCGAAGGACATCAGTCACATTGGTATTGTTCTTGGCGAAGTTGAATCCAATAGACCCGTCAGCTGGATTTCTCCAGAATTGATTGACCAGATCAGGATGAGTCGTATCAACCCCCGTGTCAATGACGGCCAGCACAACATCTTTCAACTTCAACTTGGCAGAACGAGCCGCTCGCCAGGCAGCTCCCAGGTGAATGACTTCGAGATAACGCTGACAAGAAGAGCCGGGGTCGTTGGTGCCGAGAACAGGATTGCCACCAGTACAAGTAGCTGAGGCTTGAACCATACTGGGGATAGGATCCAGGATGATCTTCACATCGGGCTCGCAATCAAATTCGATGCCCAGCATATCTGCGGCTTTTTTCAAGTAGTTCAGAATACTATTGTGACCAACTGAGCATGTCGGCTCTACAATCTGGACCCCTATTGCCTTCAAGTCATAGACCATACCATCCTGCGTGAAGCATCGTTCACAGTCGAGGTCGTCTTGGCTGAGGAAACGTTTCCTTCCAGCAGATGCAGTCAATGCCTGCGCAACCATATCCGGTAGAAGACGAACATTGAGTGAGTTTCCGCGATGGGATACCCTCAACAGGGTGCGTTGGGAGGCTATCACATATAATAGGACCGTCGATAGTAATGCCGAACGTGCGAACAACATGATGCTAGGAAGGGATATTCCTGAAAATAACCGTACCCGCGCGATTGCAGATCACAAGATGCCGGTATTATTCGAGCCTGGCTGGAGGCGACTCAATCCGGAACGTGACCCGCGTGGTAACAGTAACGATCGCACAAGCGCCTACAAACAACTACATCCTGCAAATGTATGCCACTTTAGCAACACTCACAGAATTAACGATTACGATAGTCGTAAGAACTATGAGTTTGTCGCTAACCTTCTCACGGCGGTTGTGTCGTCACCTGGATACGATAATACGAACATATCATAGGCTTCAAGCGTGCGAGCGGTATTACTTTGCGGCGCACAATGTCTGTCTGTTGTAGGGTTCGGAACAGATATGAACTAATTGGTGGTTTCAATGCACATATCAGCCAACACAACCGAGAGGGACCTTACTATGAGTATTTGGATGCAGTAGCGAGATGGGAATGGCAATAAGAGGCGCTAAGAACTGGGACGATGAACAGCTAACAATCAGCCCATGCCCAGTTGCCACGCGACCAGATTCAGCATCGCACGCGTGACAATGACCGCATTATCTGTTCATTCGCTGCATTCGAATTCATGCACGTTGGAGCCCCTGTACTTTCCCGAGACAACACCGAAATACACCTTTTTCGCTTCGTCTCGAATAGTCACGCCTCGACATACTGACGCCTCCTATGGGCGACGCCAGTCGGGCGTGTAGTGTCTCGGTGAAAGAATGTCCATCTGTTTCGTGTTGTATGTCCGATCTCTAACCTAGATCACTGCAGCTTAGACCATGCTTCGATTGCCGAAGATCGGCAATTTCTATACAAGGTATGATGTTAAGATTTTAAGATTAAGGCCTCAGGCCTTAGGCCTATGTTATACTATGATGAGATTGTGTTAATGTCTCCTTTTGTGTATTTATGTAGCTAGTATCTCAGCGTATGTTGGCACTACTTTTAGTTATCATACTCATAATTATAAGACCTATTAAGGATCGGTTTAGTAGTGAGCGTCACCCTCGGGCTGCTGATGAACACAGGTTCCCAAGACTAAGACGAAACCTGCTCTTATCCTAGAGGAGCACAGTGCGAGACACGTTCTTAGCTATGCTCGACGCTAAGCATGAAAGGCGCACAATTACGCTGTCTACTACAGGTATCTCGCTGTGATACTGTACTGCAAGTGAAGACTAAGTGTCTTCAATGACTCTGTGTGAGCTGTGTTGTGGTGATTATTTCAATTCACTACAGTATGTGAGGTTATCAAGGAATGATATCCACCGGGCTTGGAGATTTTTCCCCTCCGAAAAACGAGTTTCTCAAAATATGATCGAGAGTTTCGGTGGTAACATTCCACCATTAGGAAGTCATGAATTATTCCTTATCCACTGCTGGAGACTACCATAGACCGGCACCACTTTACATTGTAAAGTTTACAATGGAAAATGAAGTCCGATTCTGAGTTTCACGAACGGCCTACTCAACATTCAATATATTTGCAACTTCGTTGTACGGCCGTCTGATCAATGGGCGTCATAGAGGCAGCGGTCTTCTCCCCAATGTGATACTGTCCCGTCAAACGCAACCTCAACGACTGCTAACAGAAACCATCACACTTCATACATGAAACTTTCCCTTCTCAATTCCGCAAGCTCATCTAGCAAGCCTTCGAGCTCCGTCAGGTCCTCTACGAAAACAACTTCCAACCCATCCTTTAATCCATCTTCTATCGCCTTCCACTCCGCCTTGTTCGCTTTGGGTAACACCACCACCTTTAGCCCTCCCAAACTCGCAGCCACCACCTTCTCTCGGATACCACCAACGCGCTCTACTCCTCCACTCAGCGTTATCGCCCCCGTGAAACCAATCCCGTGAGGAACCGTTCGCTCTCGTCGCTGCGCCCAGAACAGTGCCGCTAACGCTAGGCCGAGAGAAGGACCGTCCTTCCTTGCTGAGACATCAGGGCCAATATTGACGTGCATAGGATTAGTGATCTTGCTCCAACTTGCCGCTATCCTGACAGTCTCCTGCAGCGTCACTCCCACCTGCCCCGTTATCAACCACTCTGAGCTCGGCAGGCACTCTACTTCCAGCATCGTCCCGCCGGCCTCGGTCCATCCCAAACCAACCACCGATGCACTCGAGGGAGAGATACCACGTGTCCAACGATTTCCAGGGTAGGTTGGCAAGCCCAGCCAATCGACGAGACTCTCTTCCGTTACTCTCATAGGGAGCTCCTCCGTCCCCTCGCAACACCGAACTACCGCGCGCCTGAAAATTCGCCATAAATTCGTCTGCAACTCTCGGACACCCATTTCTCGACAGTAAGATTCCACGATTCTTCGTAGTGCGCAGTCCTCGATAACTATAGTATCTTCCGAGATCCCGCATATCTTTTCGCACTGAGGAATCAAATACTCTCGCGCAATTCGTATCTGCTCTCTCCCCACGAACCCCGCGAGCCTGACCACGTCAAAACGATTAGCGAGAGCCGGCGGAATTCGGTCACAGTCATTCGCAGTCGCAACGAAAAGGACTTGAGTTAAATCGATCGGAATTTCGTTGCCGACGAAATTGTCTGTGTAGCCTCCTGAGGCATCCAAGGCGTCCAACAGCGCCGACGCCGGTTCCCCCATCCCAGCGCCACTAACACCGCTCGCCCCTCCCCCGAGTTTGTCAATTTCATCGAGCAAAATAACAGGGTTCTTGCTCCCGCTCGCAATCAACGCTGATAGAATCTTCCCCGGTTGACTTCCAATATAAGTCCGACGGTGTCCCTTCAGCTCACCAGCATCCGACAGTCCTCCCAGAGACACCATCTCGAACCTCCTCCCAAGGGCCTTCGCAATACTCTCAGCAATTGAAGTCTTCCCACAGCCCGGTGGACCCACTAAGAGTAACGGTCTAACCTGTCTAGTCGAAGGATGAGACATCTTGCCCAACGCCCACAACTCTACCACTCTCTCCTTAACCTCTTCTAAACCATAGTGAGTGGCACTCAAACTCGAGCGCACTGCAGAGAGATCGGCGACGCCCTCAGTAGAAGTCCACGGCAATGAAAGGACAACGTCGAGATACTGTCTTGTTACTGCGTACTCCTGTGAGCTCGGCTCAAGCTGACTTAGCCTCGTTAACTCCTTCTCAAACACCCGTCGAGTCCTATCACCAGTATTCCCAAGAGGGATCTTCCTCCCCAAATCGATCAGCTGATCGATATCCTCTCTATTCTTCTGCCATCACCAACCTTTCCACGAATAATATCACCAACCCGTCTCGCTCGAGCTACCAGACTCCTTTCCTCCAGA